AAGCCAAGGGCAAAATAATCAAACAGAAGAGCATCGGAATGGTCAGAGGATTATATTTGATGCATGCTGCACAAATTTATAAATTTATATATACATACTCGTACCTGTAAGCCTCGGGGCACAGGTTGAATTTTCATTTGTGTGGTGTGTAGGTCAATGCAATCTCAATTAGGTTCAGAACGTTTCTAATTTTAATTGCATTAATGGGTAATTGATGGACAATGGATTAGATAAACGAGCAAACCGGTAAATGAATCCCAGAAATATATATTTCTGTGCGTGAATAGTCACATTATTTGAGCACTACGATTTCATTCCCCTTTCACATTTTCAAATTTGAATATAAAATAAAACCGCGCTTGAATAGCCAGGGTCTCCGCTGTGGTGGTTCATTTTAACCGATAATCTGGTTCATTTACAGCCGATATAGGCTACCGATGGTTCCAGGTATATTTTTACGACTAGAACGCAGTCACACTGACTTAGGCCAATAAAAGCAAAAATCATAGAAGCCGAAAAAAAATGCCGGAAGAAACGCAAAAAATCGACCTGTCTGGAGATGGTGGAGTGCTGAAGGAAATCCTCAAAGAGGGTACCGGCACCGAGACCCCGCACAGTGGATGCACCGTCTCCATGCACTACACCGGCCGTCTGGTCGATGGCACAGAATTCGATTCGAGCGTGAGCCGCAATGAGCCCTTTGAATTTGCGCTCGGCAAAGGTGAGACATGAGAATGCGGCCAAAGTCGCGGTTTCTGGAATTTTCTTTTTCGTTATTTTCCTTTGTCTTAGGCCGCGTTATCAAAGCCTTCGACATGGGAGTGGCCACAATGAAGCTGGGGGAGCGCTGCTTCCTGACATGTGCTCCCAACTATGCCTATGGCGCCGCCGGCAGTCCGCCCACCATTCCGCCCGACTCTACGCTGATTTTTGAGGTACAGGCTACACGAATTAATGCTTAGCCAGTGCAGCTATATATCTCAATTCTCGTTTGCAGCTGGAAATGCTGGGGTGGAAGGGCGAGGATCTAAGCCCAAACCAAGACGGAAGCATTGACCGCATCATTCTGGAGACGAGCGATAAGAAGCGGTCTCCCAGCGATGGTGCCTTCGTCAAGGGTAAGTCCCGACTTTTATCTAGATTCTGTGGTTGGGCTAACCTCACTCGGGGTCTGTGATCTGCAGCCCACATTTCTGGTTCTTTCGAGGGAAAAGTGTTTGAGGATCGTGATGTGGAGTTTGACTATGGCGAGGGCAGTGCCATCGGTCTGGTGGATGGCGTGGAGATTGCCCTGGAGAAGATGAACATAGGAGAGACCTCCAGGTAAACCAGATAGACATGGGGGTTAAAAGCGAAACACCATTCCAAAATCGATTTTCCATTAGAATCACGATTAAACCAATGTATGCATTTGGTGTCACGGGCAATGAGGCATTTAAGATTCCACCCAACGCCACCGTTGAGTACAAGGTGAAGCTGATCGACTGCGGCAAGGGTCTGGAGGAGTGGAAGCTGAGCGACAATGAGCGCATCGACGAGGCCAAAGTGTACAAGGAGAAGGGCACCAACTACTTTAAGAAAGAGAACTGGTGCCTGGCCATCAAGATGTACACTAAGTGCAAGAATCTGCTGCCCAACAGCGCCGACACCAACGAGGAGGTGAAGAAGCTAAAGGTGGCCACACACAGCAACATTGCCCTGTGCCACCAGAAGTCCAATGATCACTTCGAGGCCAAGGTGGAGGTAAGTGCTTCAAAATAAAATACTAAATACTAGTGCAGGCACACATCAAGCATTTAAATTTATGGATTTTCTTCAGTGCAATGCTGTGCTCGCCCTGGAGCCCAACAATGTGAAGGCTCTCTATCGTCGCGGACAATGCAACCTGATCATCAATGAGCTGGATGATGCCCTGGAGGACTTCCAAAAGGTTTGCCATCACACCACAGAGAAAATGTGCCATTGCTAAATGAATGTTTGGTTAGGTTATTCAATTAGAGCCTGGCAACAAGGCCGCTGCCAACCACGTGGTCATCTGCAGGCAGAAGATCAAGGAGACGAAGGACAAGGAGAAGAAGCTGTATGCCAACATGTTCACCAAGCTGGCGGCCAACGACAAAGAGGTATAATATGCCGCAACGAGTGATAAACAAATAAAGCTCAAACCTTTTTCATCCCCCTATTCGCTTATCATTCGAAGACCGAACCACCTCGCGAAACAGATGTACTCAGCAAATGCGGAGAATGGTCCGAGGAGGACGCCAAACGCGAGGCCGATCTAACGCTAGAGCGCGACAATATAATTATGATCTAGCCGAGAACAAAGGCTCAATGGATCAATGGTTAAGCATTTTAAGTAATATTCCTTAGTTGTCGAGTGAACGCCCTTAAATATTTCCACATCAAAAATCGAAAAAATCCAATAATTTAACAAACATAATTGGTACTTCATTATACGAAATATAGAAAAAGCATTGAAACCCGTTTACCTTTTTATTTGTCTCGCGGTAGCAGCTGAAAGCTCGGCCGTGGCTCCCTGTCACGCAGCCATAGCGGCAACGTCGGCACCTGGGCCTTGATGTACTCCGAGGCACGGAAACAATAGCCGGAGCAGAATTTCTTGCGCTCTGTGAGATCGTATACCTTGTTTCGCGATGCACTGATTTGGTACTTCTGTTTGGGTACGCTGGAAGTAAGCCGGTTAGTCGGGAGCCAACTTCTCGAGCGTCAACTTACTTCTCCAACGCATTGGAGCAGAGCGGGTACCCACAGTTTTGGCTGATTTCCCGCTCGTCTACAATGTCGGTATAGTTATGGGGTGCGATTTCCCAGAGCTGACGAGGGGAAACTGTTTATTAAGTCTTTAATACAATTATAATGCATGCAAATACCATGGCCAGAAATTCCGGCTCTGCTACGTCGGGCTCCAGGAGTCTCACGACAATTTCCTGAGCCCGCGCAATTGCCGCGCGCTTTTTCACTACCGCCGCGATGAGCTGTTCCCTGCAATAGGTAGTAAATTGAACATTTAACAATAGTCTACACTAGTAGCGCATTAGTGTACATACAATAGTGTATTTAAAAGTCCACTGGCTTACCGTAGTTGGTCGTTTTTTTCCGTCATCGCATTTTTTTGTTGCAATTCGGCAAACAATAAGTTAGGATTGTTGATATTATATCGATATAGGTGATATTTTTATTTTTGATACGATTATATCGGTATGATACTTTTTCGCCGACTATATCAAGAGTCGATATTTTTTGCAAATATCGACCTAGTGTTCTTTACACTGCGCGCAACAGCTTCCGTTCGAACAAGTTAAAAAACGTGTATACAAAAATGGACAAGCCCTCCTTATCGTGCAAACTTTGCGGTAAAGTTGTGAAGACAATCTGTTAAATATTTTTCCAATATATCGATATATTGATATTCTCAAATTGATAATTTCGATATGGCGATATTTAAATTTACCAAATGCGGTCATATTGATTTGTGAAAACAAAACAAATTGATAAGATATACAAAAATGGTTTGCGAAAAGTGCGAAGCGAAGTTAACGAAAGTGTCGGCCCCAAATCCCTGGAAAACTAGCACCGCTCCAGCCGGTGGACGCAAGATAAATGAAAACAAAGCCCTATCCTCTGCCCGGGACCGATACAATCCCATGGGCACGACCCTGGCACCTTGCCGGTAAAAAACAAACAATACGTTGGATTCCAGTCCTCTGACTGCTGGTCATTTCAGCATTTGCCGACAAAAGGTCCACCAGATGGGAGCCCACTACTGCCAGGCGTGCGCCTACAAAAAGGCCATATGCGCCATGTGCGGCAAGAAGATCCTAAACACAAAGAACTACAAGCAGAGCTCAACGTGATGCTGCAGTCCATGGCCACACGGCACCGAGGAGTTTATACTTAAGCCTAACCTAGTTATAGACAACAGAATAATTATGTATATCAGATAGTATCAACAAATGCATAAATAAGTACATCAAGCCTCTGTCGTTGGCTTCTCCCGTCGCCGCTTGGCACTTTGGATCTGCGAAGAGTAGCTGAGCGCCTCCTTGTCAAACTCAAGCGGCATAGTGCCCAGATCGCCGCTGTAGCGGTTCTTGGCTATCTGCAAATACTTTTTGACCAGAACCAACAGTCCCCTGTCCTGAATGATGAGCACATTGTCCGCCTCCTGTGTGGCTTTGGCCATGCCAAAGACGGAGCTCGTGGTGAGGTCATCCTCCTGGCGCTCCTTGCGCGGATGCATGACTAGCGTTACGTGGACATTGTGCTTGGTGGCGAAGCTGCGAAAGGCGGCAATGATGCCATCCTGCTCCCAGAACTTGTCGCCGCGAAACGAGGAGACTCCCATCATGAACTGGAGGTTGTCGATTATAGTCGATAATTATCACATGCCCATTGGTATATGTTGTATGCTACGTGTCCGTGTTCCCAGTATCGATCGCATGACCTAGCGTGACCGCTTGCAGAATTCCAGCCCCAGCTGTTGTATCGATATTTTATCCCACCATTTTCGAATTTACTAACAGCGGTGGCCGGCAAAAATGCAGCGTCACATTAGTAGCCTACGGTAAAAATTTTCACAATCGAAGCTGGCTTTTCATATTCCATATACATATGAATATATATTTATTTATTTTTACATAAACAGTACGGCAGTTGAGTCGGGTTTATTCGTTTTGTGCACATCTTTTCTACACTTTCAAATTTGGAGTTTGGAATACCTGTCCGGTCCAAAAGCTAAGGGGTCCTAGTATCCCCCCAAAAATGGCGAAAGGCGCAGCTTCTGTATGATGTCCTTAAGCGCATTGATCTCGGCCGCATGGGGATCCATATTAATCACCGGCTTGTTTTTGATCTGAAGTGCACGATCCGCATAGCGCAAGGTGCTCAGGGTCTCGGACACATTAAAGTCCGCGGGACTGACGCAGGCGATCATCAATGTGATGGAGTTGCCGCCCAGCGAGTCCTGCAGCAGGCGCGTCAGCTTTGACTGGCGGTACGGTATGTAAGCGCATTGATCTCGGCCGCATCAGGGATCCATATTAACCACCGGCTTGTTTTTGATCTGAAGCGCACGATCCGCATAGCGCAAGGTGCTCAGGGTCTCGGACACATTATAGTCCGCGGGACTGACGCAGGCGATCATCAATTCGGCCTCACCGAATTGGAGGTCACTTCCGCTCATTTAATGCGTGGCTCTGCCGGTCGGGCTGTAGCAGCCACTGCAATGAACGAGACCTCGTCCCGTTCTCATGCCATTTTCACGCTCACCGTAGTCTCCAGCAAGCTGGAGGGAAGGTAAGTATGAACTGAAATACACACAGATTTATGTGAAAGTTTATTTTTGCATTCAATTCATCCATTGTGATCTTCAGGAAGGTGGTGACCACCTCCAAGATCAATCTGGTGGATCTGGCTGGCTCTGAACGCTGCTCCAAGACACTGGCCATCGGCGACCGCTTCAAGAAGGGGGTCAACATCAATAAAGGCCTGCTGGCCCTCGGCAACGTGATCAACGCATTGGGCTGTAGGTCCTCCTGCACATCCATAGCAAAATCCTTTCTCATTTTGTGTCCATTTTACAGCCGGACAAACTGCCGGTTACATACCGTACCGCCAGTCAAAGCTGACGCGCCTGCTGCAGGACTCGCTGGGCGGCAACTCCATCACATTGATGATCGCCTGCGTCAGTCCCGCGGACTTTAATGTGTCCGAGACCTTGAGGACCTTGCGCTATGCGGATCGTGCGCTGCAGATCAAAAACAAGCCGGTGGTTAATATGGATCCCCATGCGGCCGAGATCAATGCGCTTCAGGACATCATACAGAAGCTGCGCGCTGTTCCACCACCACTTGGCAGGGCCATTTCCGCACATCAATTCAGCCCCAAGCTAGACAGGTCAGAAAAACGAAGAAAACGACACAGCACCTGACAAATGTTCACTTTTGAAATAAAACCAATTTCCACTCTATTGTTTCCCTTTTTGCAGAAGGTATGGAATGGAATACAACACGATGTGCTATTTACGTTTATGATTTTAATGACGTAAAATCATAAACGTAAATGGCGCATCGTGTTGGATCGGGATCCGATGGATGATCCACAGGCGGTTTCCCTTTCTACCTAAAAGAATTTACTAGGCATGCGGAACGTGAGCACAATATCCGAAGCATTGAATGTTAGACAGTTTTTCGCCCCAAATTCTTGTTTTCTTCACTTTACAATACATTAATGTACACATTTTAAATAATAATAATGATAATTACAATAGAGCTACGTTATACAGTACATATGATATTTACTATATAGTATATATAAATATAGCGTTTTCGAATCCAAAGAGTAAAAAACATACGGTAATTACACTTACACTTACCGGAGAGTAGGTTTTGTTTTGTTCTCGGTGTTGTTTTGTTGTTTTTAGCGAGTTGTTGCTGTTGTTTGAGTGCGTGATGCATATAATCATATAATGCTCTTATTCCATTATCCTTGTGATTGTTCAGTTTGTTCTTTTTCCTTTTCTTTTTGTTGTGTGTGCAGATTTTGTGCGATGTGGATGCGATGCGATGTTGGATGAATGAGGAATGGTGTGATTGGATTTATAACGAAACATCAATCAATATATAAATATATTGCATAGGTGTGTGTGTGTGTGTGTGTGTATATCCTGGCCATTCATTGTGCGATATTTTTGTTTGATTTAGTTGGGCCCGGTCCGGTCCTGTCCGGTGCGGTCCTTTAAACCGTCTCCAGCACATGCACATCCTTCTGAACCACAAGGCGCACACAAAGTCCACCAGATTGGGACAGGGTATCGGATAGAGGCCGGCAAAGATAATGTTCGATGTGGAGAGCGGCATGGTGACCCACGAATAAACACTGATGCCCAGCAACAGCTTGTGCCGGAAGGGTATCATCTTGGAGTGGACCACTAGCAGGATGCCCTGGAGCCAGCGCTTGCGTTGCTGCAGGAAATCAAGCAGCGTGAATGGTGACTTCTCGTACATTTCGCTTTCAATGAAGTTGAACGTATAGCCCTGGCTGAAGGCGCGCATCGCAAAGAAGCAGTCCTCGGCCACAGAGCCATCGATGCCATTGGCAAAGGAGACGGATCGCTCGGCCTCCACCTGGCAAAGACACAGAGAGTTTAGTAAATGGATTCACATTGCACTTATGTATGTATATAAAGAGACACACTCACATGGGTGACCACATAGCTGCCCTTCCAGCTGAAGAGTGGCTTGTGGAAGAGCTTAAACTGCAGCCGCAGCTTGCCCATGTCATCGGACACCCGAAAGCTGTCCGCCAGAGGGGTCAGCCAATTGACAACATTCTCGTTGGCATAAGTGATCAGACCCTGGCCGAATGGATGCTTACCATCCAGCACGAAATTTATAATGCCGCGCACCGAGTTCTCCGTGAGCAGGGTCTCCTCATAGAGATGGACGATCCAATTGTTGTCATTCAGCACATTCACCGATCCTCCAGGCAGTGCTGCAGGGCCCGTGACTTGAAGAGGGCCCCCGTACGCGTTTTATACTACTTGGGCTGAGAAAATTCTCCAGGCCGGTGTCCAGACAGGTGTTCATGTTCCGCAGGACATTCGTTTTGACCAGATCGGGAAAATCGCCGTCCAGTCCTCTGATTGCTGGTCATTTCAGCATTTGCCGACAAAAGGTCCACCAGATGGGAGCCCACTACTGCCAGGCGTGCGCCTACAAAAAGGCCATATGCGCCATGTGCGGCAAGAAGATTCTAAACACAAAGAACTACAAGCAGAGCTCAACGTGATGCTGCAGTCCATGGCCACACGGCACCGAGGAGTTTATACTTAAGCCTAACCTAGTTATAGACAACAGAATAATTATGTATATCAGATAGTATCAACAAATGCATAAATAAGTACATCAAGCCTCTGTCGTTGGCTTCTCCCGTCGTCGCTTGGCACTTTGGATCTGCGAAGAGTAGCTGAGCGCCTCCTTGTCAAACTCAAGCGGCATAATGCCCAGATCGCCGCTGTAGCGGTTCTTGGCTATCTGCAAATACTTTTTGCCCCGCACCGATGTCAGTCGCTTGTCTTGAATGATGAGCACATTGTCCGCCTCCTGTGTGGCTTTGGCCGTGCCAAAGACGGAGCTCGTGGTGAGGTCATCCTCCTGGCGCTCCTTGCGCGGATGCATGACTAGCGTTACGTGGACATTGTGCTTGGTGGCGAAGCTGCGAAAGGCGGCAATGATGCCATCCTGCTCCCAGAACTTGTCGCCGCGAAACGAGGAGACTCCCATCATGAACTGGAGGTTGTCGATTATCACATGCATCACGTCGTGCACGTAGGACGCATGCTCGATGGCCTCCAGCACTGGCTTCAGCGGCTGCTGGCCGTGGAAGGTCATAAAGTAGAGCGGCATGCGCTCAAACTCTGTGGCCCAGTGGTCAAACTCCTGCAGCTTATTGTCCAACGGGTAGCCCACATATTGCCGCAGCAAGGTAGCCGCCAGGCGGGTGTTGCGGATCTCGAAAGAGCCCCAGAGTGTGGTCACGCCCTGCATAGCCAGGTCGAGAGAGTACTCGCTCATGAAGGTGGTCTTCCCGCTGCCCGTGGGTCCTGTCAGGATGGTCAGCTCTCCCCTTCGGTGGCCCTTAAGCAACTTGTTCAGCACCGGGAAACGCTTCCATTTCACGCCGTTCACTTTTTCAATGTTCTGCAGCTCGCTGAGTATGTCGTTCTTCATCGCCCCAAATGTGGTGATGGCCTTGTGCCGCACTGGCGTGGCCTTGGTCAGTATATGGCGGAGGTTGAGGCGACGACGCAGGGCCAGGTGGGGCGCTGGTTCCGTTTCGGTAGGTCTGATGAGGAGGCAACGCTTTTCATCTATCTTTTGGGCAAACGCTCGGGCGGCATCCCAGCTGTGACTGCTATCGTAGTGCAGCCAAAAGACCAGCTCCTTGAAGCGCTCCAATCCAGGCAGGCATTCCTGCGGCAGCATCTTCAGCTCGTACGGCAGGCAGACAATGCAATCTGAAAGGCAAAAGGGCATTCTCTGTGAGCTGTAAATCGTAAGGAAAGCGCTTTTACGTACGCGTTTCGATGTTTTGGGTGGAGAGGACAATAAAGTCAAGCAAATTGCTGACTAGAACCGCTTTGCTTTTGTTCCCCACACCATGAATCAGCAGTCCCGACATGGAGCTTCCCTGAAAGGTCTCCTCATGGCGGTCGCTTAAATGCAGCACCTTCTCCCCGACCACCAGTTGCGCGCCGTTACGTAGCTTGAAGTGAAGCAGATTCTGTTCCGGCTCGAATTGGGCTCCAATGCCATTCAACTGCGACTCCTTCAAGCCCTTGATTCCTAGGACATCACATGCCTCTGGCGTCACATCTATTAGGTCGGGAAAGCGCGTTTCATAGACGGGCTTCCTTTGTGGCGGGCGCTGGTAACCGGCTGGCGAGGGCAGCTGATATGCCGTCAAAGCATTGGCCAGAGAGGTTTTCACATCACAATTTGGGCAGATGAAGGCACCTAGAAAATGGAATCCATATCGATTGTTTGCTAAGGAAAATTCCCTCGGTTACACACCCGTCCGCTTGTTTACGTAAGCCAGCAGCCCTTGCTCGGCGGCGCCTCTTGTCTGTGCTGCTGCCGGCAGCCTATTACGCTCACACAGCCGGCACTCCAATTGCAAGCACGTGTGCCCATCCTTGGGATATATATTGATCTGTCGCAGTTGTTTCTTAAAGTCCACATACTCCTTGGGGTCCAGTATGCACTCCGCGTAGTCTGTATCTATTTGCGTTGCGTAGTTTTCCTTCCAGACTCTGGGTTTTTGGTTATATATGCGCAACAGCGGTTTGATGATGGCGCGTCTCATGGTACATGTTATCGATGAACACTGTGCAACAGGCGGCGGCTAGTGTTTTCGCGGTAGCACGCACTTGGGGTCTTGAAACCCATTACTGAATTGGCCGTATACTCCTAGCAATTAAATAATAGATTGCATCAGCTTAGCATTTATGCGTATTTTAGCTTTTTTTCCGCTTCAGATTAATAACCAATGCAACTCTTCTTTGGATGACCTATCGTTATCGAGCGCGTCCACTTTTGAAAGACAAGGTGGCACAAAATGCAAAACAATTTTTTTCGTGCGAGTAGTTTTTTGCCAAATAGGGGAGAGCTGCATTAGAGAGATTCTCGCATCGCACCAATAAATATTACCCAATGTCCCAATACCCATTACCAAAGAATGTACTTGTATACATTTTTTATTTTATTTGATTTATTTTGTATTAAATTGATGGAGTACAACAAAGTTCTGTTAACCAAACTCCATCCAGTTAAAGCCACAAAAGAAAATAATATTCTGAAATTAAATAAATAACCAATTAGTTATGAACGTATACGCACAAGGGAAATATTTGTGTACAAATTGTTAATCAGACACCTAAGCCCATCATTAAGCCGAAACTTTCTGGTGGAAACCGCAAAAGGTATTTAAGGTAATCATCATCTGAAACAATTGAACAGTATAGAGCTGTTATACATTACCTTTTAAATAAGTCGGATTACAGGTTCTGTAGTCAGGTTAAGAAAATGCCGGGGTATGTGCTGAAAAACGGAGAAACGGATTAGTTTAAAAAGAAAAACCGTGTACAATGTATAGTCGAATGGAAATGCTTAATCAGACACCTAAGCCCATCATTAAGCCGAGGCTTTCTGGTGGAAACCGCAAAAGGTATTTAAGGTAATCATCATTTAAGCAACTCCAAATAATGAATAATGTTTGAAAGTATTACCTTGAGTGGTGTTCATGAAGAAGCACCATGTGCCTGGAGTAAAGTGACCATCAGAAGCATGCAAGTTCGAAATCTGGAATAAAGAAGAATATTAAAGAAGATCCACAAGAAGTATGTAAGCTTTGAATTTTCTGAATCTTTAATCAGGTTACATTTTCTCTGCACGATTATCTTAGTACAGGTCTGTGTAAAAACTCATCACGTTGTTTAATATTAACTAAATTGAATGCTTACCTTGGTAGCGAGGTTTTTCCACCGAACCGTCGCGATGGTGGTTCGACATAACCTGCAAAAATTAAAGGAAAAATCACATTAATATAAGAATTCATAAAAATAAATCACTTTCTTTTTTTTCAGATATCAGTTTACGTTTTTCCGCATGAGTCTATTCAGTACAGGTCTGTGTAAAAGTTCATCACAAGAAATAAACTGTATAACAAGATGTAGTCCTTACCGTCAATGCTATGCCCACAGCAGTCTCATGTGGGCAAAATGCCCGGTGTCTCAGCGCCCTTCACCTGGCAGCACGGGTTTTGTGCACGCACGCTCACATGGAGTTAGTTATTCAACGTTTCAACATAGTTTCTGGCATCTATCCCTGCAAACCAATTATTTTCAATTAGCAGTTGTTTGATTGAACACGCAGCAAGAAAAAGTAATTCAAATGCCATCAGATTGCCGAATAATCTTTAATGAACAAATATTGTTCAACGAAACATTGAAAGATACAACGTTAAGTCGAGAAAAATGTTCTTTCAGTCTCGTCATCAGTTTCATCATGTGTGGCACTGAATTAGTTTAAATACATTTTTCACAGAGTTCTATTCGCTAGCCTTACCATTTTGCCGGAGTTGTCGAAGAAAAGTGAAGCCACATCCGGACGCACGTGGAAACGTAGAACGAAAATGGCGGAACAGCGATGCTTCCATCTCATATCGATGCTCCGCAGCAATGATTTCATAGCCTTTCGATATATGTCAGCGTTGCTTTGAAGAAAATGCTTTAGTCGGGAAAACAGCTGATGACCAAAACACTTTTATACACGTGCGCCTTTTTAATTTGATTTTAAACTGAAAATACCTTAAAATGGTAAATATATGTTTGCATTGGAATGTCCCCTGTAGTAACAGATTTATTCTTCCCCCAGGGCAAGCAAAAGAAAACCCAAAAGGTAAAGAAACAGCGCAATGCACAGCTTAAACGCCTGATGAAGCCCACAGACTCGCGACTGAAGGACCAAATTCGGGAAAAGCGAAAAAAAGCCGAGGATCCGCACCAGGTCAAAGTGCACGAGGCCACCCAGCAAAGCTCGGCGCTCTTTTTCCAGTACAACACCCAGTTGGGGCCTCCCTACCACATAGTCCTGGATACCAATTTCATCAACTTTAGCATTAAGAGCAAACTGGATATTGTGCAGGGAATGATGGATTGTTTATATGCCAAATGCATACCATACATTTCGGACTGTGTGCGGGCAGAGTTGGAGAAGCTGGGCAACAAGTACAAGCTAGCCCTGCGCATCATATCAGATCCCCGCTTCGAGCGCCTGCCCTGCCTGCACAAGGGCACCTACGCTGATGACTGTATCGTGGAACGTGTGCGCCAACACAAGTGCTATATAGTGGCCACCAACGACAAAGATCTTAAGAACCGCATTCGCAAAATACCAGGAGTGCCTATTATGTATGTGGCAGCCCATAAGTACGCCATAGAAAGGATGCCGGAGGCGTATGGCGTGAAGGCGTAGACTAATTTGTATAGCTAAAGTTTACCGATTATAATATAAAACTACACTAAGCTGAAATTTGATGGTTTACTTTGAGCATTGGGATCGTTATTTATGTATATAGATGAATCAGGAAATGAAAGACAGCATAGTTTATATTTTTATGTTATTGAGTTTATTCAAAACCATTGGTTCGCTCTGTGCTGACGAGTCTAGGCATCAGCGTGCAGACGGGCTGTGGGCTTGGACAAGAAGTCAGAGTATGCCTGGTAGGGAGTGGAGCCCAGAGGCATCTCCTTCCACAAGTCTGGAGTGAGGTAAGCGTAGGTCTTGGCAATGGCAGCATAGGTGGCCTTTGCGAAGTTACCCAGGGTACCGGTCGAGCCACGGGCCGAGGTGTAGCAATCCTCAATACCTGCCATGGTCAGCAGCTTCTTAGGGACGGGAGCCGAGACAATGCCAGTACCGCGGGGAGCGGGAATCAAACGCACCGAAACGGAGCCGCACTTGCCAGTAACCTTGCAGGGCACGGTGTGGGGCTTGCCGATCTTATTGCCCCAGTAGCCACGACGCACGGGCACGACGGACAGCTTGGCGAGGATGATGGCGCCACGAATGGCGGTGGCAACTTCCTTGCTGCACTTGACGCCCAGTCCGATGTGACCGTTGTTGTCGCCGATGGCAACGAAGGCCTTGAAGCGGGTGCGCTGACCGGCACGGGTCTGCTTCTGCACAGGCATGATCTTCAGAACCTCATCGCGCAGAGACGAGCCCAGGAAGAAGTCGATAATCTCGAACTCTTTGATCGGCAACGAGTACAAGTAGATCTCCTCCAGGGACTTGATCTTGCCTTCGCGCACCAGGCGACCTAGCTTGGTGACTGGCACCCACTCCTTGGAGTCCTCCTTGCCACCACGTCCACGGGCGCCACGTCCACGGCCACGACCGCGTCCACCACGACCCCCACGAGAGCCAAAACCGCCACGGAATCCACCACGGGCTGGAGCTGCGTCCGCCATTCTGCAATCGAATAAAAACAAATATTTCGTTAGCGCATTCAAGTCTACCAAATTCAATTTCAGCCTTTAATTGTGTGTGCTTGGATCAGACTCCTAAGGCCATCTTTAAGCAAATTGCTTTCTGGTGGAAACCGCAAAAGGTAATTAAAAGAATCATCATGTACGCACAACTAAATATATTTTTTCACGAGTGTCTGGCATCGCCATTTTGAAACACGTGGTTTCCCAGAATGGTTATGTTTTATCCAACAATACCATCGAATCTATTGTATTTAACACGAAAGCGAACACGTCGCAAATATTTGTGCAGGCAGGCGCACACATTTCAACATAGTTTAAGCCCATTTAGACCAGATTATAATTAATTTCAGCTTACATGTAGGTCTATCAAATATGTTGGGGGTGAAGACAAAAACGAAATGACCGAGGAATGGAAATAGGGATGCTGAAATTGACATATCAAGACATCGATATGTTTTTTAGGTGATAGTTTTTTTCTATTGTTGAATAAATTAAAATGAATATTTTTGTGCGATACAATAATCATCGATTCAGGTCAAATTGACAATATTAGTGTTATTAGAATAGTGCCCCATATCATATGAAACTTAAAAGGTCATCTCGGGTACGTAAAATATTTATACAATCAAAATTTTAATTCAGTAGCTTTAAATTTAGAGTTTATGCCAAATAAAACCAAAAAACCACTATGCACCGGGCGACTTTTCGATATTCATCGATGCACAGGGTAGGTAAAAATAAAATATCTGTATTTTTATGCGATATGCGGACAAGGGACTAGCAATGTGACCATATAGTGTGACGACGCGGTACTAAAAGAGCGAAAAAATCTGCACAAATGGTTATTAATTGTACATAAACAAAGAAAAGAGGGTAGAAATGCCATGAAAAACAATTGTGATCCAATAAAAATGTAAAAAGTTGGTTCAAGGTGCCGTAAAATAATGCAAACATGCATTTTTCTATACCAGACACGCAGGACCTGGGCACCTCGCCCACGTACACTGTGTATAATATACACATAAATGGGAGCTATCATTGTTGCCTGCGTTACAAGCAACTGCATTCCTTAAACGAACAAATGCGACGGCATTGCTCGAGTTTGAGTTTGCCTCCTTTTCCCCCAAAAAGGTTTCTACCGCTAACCAATGGGCAGCTGGAGACCAGACGAAGTGGTCTGGAGCAGTATTTGCAGATCATTGGTCAGGACGCTCGATTTGCTCGATTGCCGTTTGTACATAAGTTCTTCCAGCGTGCCCAGCTGGACACGGCGCTGGCCGAGGGCAATGTGGGGAGCGACAGCGAGGAAAAACAGCTCGAGGTGGAGGTCTACACAAATCCGAATGGAGCACAGTTGCTGGTTAATTGTAATGTGCAACAGAATGCCAGTTTGCTACTAAAGAGCGTATGCCGTGAACTGAAGCTGCCAGAAGAGCTGATGAAATTGTTTTGTCTGTACCTGATGCGAAAAAAACGCGAATCTGACGAGATGGTTCTGGTGCGTCGCCTGATGGACTTCGAGTCGCCATACATAACACGACTTCATGCCCAGCCATGTGAGTTGTTGCTTCGCACGTGTTATTGGGACTCGAGCTGGGATGCCAAGCTGTACGGGAATAAAGTGGCCCTGAACTTGCTGTATAATCAGACCGTGGCAGATGTAAGTAGAGAATGGGTTGTGATCTGCACTCCTGGGCTTGGTCGGCAATTGAGCCATCTTCAAATGCAAGGACGGTCCTTGGAATACATGGATGTAGTGCGCGACTTGCCCTCCTACGGCTGCCTGCAGTTTGAGGCTGCGAATGTTGACTATCCGGAACCGAAAACTGTGGCTTTGGTCAGCATTGGCAACAAGGAGCTCAGCTTACGCACGGTACGCGGCACTAAAATATACGAGACAAAGTTTCGGGTAACTAGGATGCGCTCATGGCGCGTCAGTGTGATCCACAATACGCTGGAGTCGAGGCATGAGCCCTCACAGTTGCAGTTGGCATTTGAGTATTTGATTTCGAAGCAAACGCTGCGCTGGATAACTATTAGCAGTGACCAGGCCATGCTGATGTCTGTATGCCTGCAGGCAATGGTGGATCAGCTGTTGCACGGCGGAGGAGGGAAACCAGATCCGAGTAGTGATGATGAACAGGACGCAGGAGCGTCCGCATCGGCCGCATCCACACCCAGCTCGGTATCATCGACATCGACCTGTGCATCCACATCGTATTCGACGACAGCGTCTATAACAACGCCGCCAGTCAAGTTTCTTGCTCAGGACTTGGCGTCCAAGTCAAAGCAGCAGAGACTTACGACGTCCCGCACCTTTGGAGCTGTGTTCTTTCGCAACGATGGGGAGGATAGCGCACGTGTGGCCAATGAAGCGTTTGAGGGTATTGGGGATGATGATCTCTGAGCGCTAGCCAAATTAATGGGTGCCAAAGTAGTTGAATTTCTTGAATATATAAATATCCGAATGTTTTGTAACCACTGTAATTGTTAACCACACAAATCAAAACCGCACATTTAAAGTAACACAGTTAGTAATTTTTGCGTGTATATAACATTATTTTCTTGGCTGCTTGGAAATGCCAAGGGAAAATGTATGTAATGGGAGTTTTATTGTATAGAACCGGTGATGTATTGATGAATGCTCAACAAGAAAGCGTTTTCTTACCTTTATTATTTATAAGAAATGTTATATTATTATAAATGCTCTGTAAATGGAACTTTTTTGACACATTTGTAACCTGCTTATTGTTTAACTCTTATTGTAATATATGTATGTGAATCTTTTTATGTTTACTTCTAGAATAAATACGTTATGCATTTGGAAAAATAAATGTACTGATTACTACTGTGTAAGGTTTGTTTTCTACCTATATTCTTTAAATATAAATGGTTAAATTGTATTAGTGTACCTTCTTTCCGGCTTCGGTTTTCGGTATCATCTAACTAACCTTAATGGTTTAAACAGGGCTGGATACGCACTCAAGCCTTAGAAAATTATCCAAGAAATTTGAGTACGCGCCATCCCATTCGGTCCGATATGATCTGTCCAGCTTAGCTGAAAGACCTTTCGGACTAGCACGATGTTGCCACACATCCACCGACGCTGCCTACACCACAAGTTTAATACCTGAAAACATCTAAATTCAGTTAATAATTGAATTTATAAATATATAATTTATATAACATATTTATATAACATACCTTCTGCGCCTCCTTACTTTACTTACCTTGCGAAAACATCGATAGTCGCCATAAAACATCGATGTTTCCAAAAAATTTAAAAACATCGATGCATCGATGTTTCTCCACCTCTACTGCCACCAGTATGGATAGATATTATATACCAGTTTCGGTATATGTTATCGATAAGTAAAAAAGCGCGTAAAATTCAGGCTGCAGCAACAAGCTGCAACGGCAAGAATAATTGTTGTCGCGGCCGACCACGGCAGCCCCGGAGGCGCCAAATATCATCGACTAAACGAATTAAAAAGCTTAATTAACGAATTAACAGCAGGGTCGTATTTGCCCAAATTCGCGTCAGGAACTTATACACTTTGGGTTGCGCCGCGGAATGAATGTTGTGTGTTTGTGTTTACTGATGTCAAAATGAACCAAAGTGAGTCGGAAATTGCACCGGAGAAGGAGAAACAATGAAGCAATTAATATAAAACAGGTAATAAAACTCCATGAAACTCAAGTTTATCTATACAAATAACGGAAAGGAAAGGGAATAGTTGGAACCGCAAGTGGCAATGGCGGTGAGAATGGCAGAGGAAGAGATGACGAAAGTGCTCCCGAATTTGTAAAGAAATTGAATGAATACACTTTTGACTAGCGGTGATTTATTACATGTAAATATATGGATTCACATAAAAATTGAGCCTTAGATTAGCGCTGAGACCGGGGAAACCGAAGTCATTTGGCACTGGGGCTTGGTGTGAAGTGAAGTCCTCGGGGTTAGTGTCACTCTATTACTGGTTCCAAAATAAATATTGCTTATGCCTAGGTAAGGAGTACGAGTAAGATAAATAGAACAGAAGGTTTGCAGGCCTAAATGCAAGTCGACAACAGTAATAAAAGCTGATAGTGTCTTGCGATTGCCCGACCATCAACCCCCCAGATCCCAGTCCTGTTGATCCACACTAGTTGTTTCGCCTAGTTGTTGTTGTGGGTGTAGTAGAGGACCGTGTTTCCGGGCAGCTGCCAGTGGGAGGCCTTTAGCTCGATGAGCTGCAGCAGTGTCCGACGGATGGCAGCGGCCGAGTCGCCCGCATTCAAGAAAGCATCGCGCACTAGGCTCATGAGCAGCTCCAGTTGCTGGGGCAGCTGCTGCTCCACGTCCTGGCCAATGCAGGTGAGGACGTAGAACAGGCACTCAATCTGGAGCGAAAGAAATCTTATATAACCATTTGATTTGCGAGTCCAGCTAGGGCACACGCACCTCTGATAGCGAGCGAATCGGCGGACGCACACAATCCTCACAGCACTTCGACAGCAGGCTGAGCAGGACCAATGGAGGTGGTGTTCCTTCGTGGTGGGTGCGTAGCTGGATTTGGCGCCGCTTCAACTGGCAGAACATCTCCGTGAGGAAGGCCATGAAGGCAGTGAAACGGACACGTGAAGGTGACTTCATGCCCTGGATGGCAAACAGTAGCTAAGGAAAGACATAAATCATGGATTAAAGATTCGGATACACTTCCCTTATGGCTACCTTCTCGCGCTCCTGGTACCACTGACGGCACGTATTGAGCAACGCCTCCAGGAAGGTCTCCTTCTGCTCCCTGGCTATGATATTAAGACATAGACGGGAGATGGGCAAGGCGAAGCGCCGGCTCTCCACCGCCCGCTTGATAAACTGCGACGTCAGCTCCATGAGGCAGCGCGAGTTCAGCTGATTGGGATCCTCCAGAGCCGTGTCGATCAGGGCCTGAATCTCCGGCGTGAACCCTCCAATGTCGGACATCTCGTTACCCAGGCCCAGGCCCAGACCGGCCATGCCACGGGTCAGGGCATCAGCCGAAGACAGGGACTTGGAGCGCTGCAGGGCATTGCCGTTCATATAGGGATCGATCGAGCCATTGAGGTTTCCCTGTCCATACGGCTGTCCATAGTTCTGTTGGAACTGGCTGTGGGATGCCGAAGACTTCTGCTGACCTCTGGGCTCCGGGGCAAACTTAACCCGATTCGTTGTCTGAAATGGGCATACAAAATGTGAGATCAAGGGGGTCTACCTTATCAGTCTGCTTACATGGAGTATATTGCCACTGGATGGGGAGCTCATGAGAGGCATTTGGCCACCCGCCAGGGGACTGATTGGATGCGTCACTAAAATGGAGCGATGGTGGCTGGCCTTCATTCCGCCGGGCATGTTGCCCAGGGAAAGACCCGCCTGTCGTCGGTTCACGTTCACATTCACGTATTGGCCCAATGAGGGGCTCTGGCCGGGGCCGTTGTTGGGGAAGATCAGCGACGAACTGGAAGAATGTTGTAGATTGTAGTTTAGCTCTGCAAGGAGACGGGAAGAGGGGTAAACGATGGCATTAAAAAGGGTTTGCTTTACCGATTACTGAGTGCCTCGGTTGGCGAGCAGTTGCCCGTCATCGTGAACTCCTGGGCATTCACATTCAGTTTGTTTGCACCACCTGCACCACCAATCGGAGCAGCCAAATCGCCGCGCACATCTGTGACAGAGGCATTTATACAGAGGAGGGAGGACACCAAGAGTTTATAGCATGATGATGTGAGGGGCAGGACAACATTTTTGAGTTTGTTTGTTTGTTTGTGTGTGGAGTGTATATAGAGTATGAGAGAGACATATGAAAAGAATCCAAAAGAAAGATATTGTCTCAATAAGTAATCGGTAGTCTATATAAAGCTTGCAGCTGAAAGTGCGAAGCAGCCGATTAAGCAGCTGTATAAAAGATATCCCCGGAAAAGCTAACAAAGATTACGCGCTGGAAAACTCTTCTAAGCCATGTCCATTTCATGCAGTATTCTATGATATTTATAGCTCTGCTTAAAGTATCAATATTTGTATTATTCCCCTTTTATCGTTGATTCGCTGCACAAAGTTTTGTATTCATGGCATTAGATATCGGTTCTAGCTGGATAATATTAGAATGGATTCGAATTGCGCTATCCTATAGACAGCATAAAGCACTCTGCCAAGCTAACTATGCAGACAAGCGAGACAAAACAAAGAGGAAACAAATGTAATGTAACTCACTTGGCGGTCGGTATATATCCATGGCGGGCTTGCCCCGCATCTGTCCCGACTGCTGAACATTTCCAGGAACATTAAAAGCCAGACTGCGCCTTTTGTTGATATTCTGAAATCGAGAGCACGTTTAAGTAAACCCCAAATCGAAGAGAGGGAGAGTGAGAGATAAGTGTTATAAGTACCTGTTGATTCGAGGTGCGGACAAAGCTGCGTTCTCTGGATATAACACCGGGCATCATGGGCTGAAAATCGGGTGACTTGCGTACCTTTCGAGCATCATTATGTTGACTGTTCAGGCTAGCCTGTGAGTGTTCCACTTTCTCGGCCATTTCCGTGCTGGTTCTGATCTGATCAGATTTCTGATCTGTTTAGCCTAATCTTTGGTAGATTGTAGATTATCCTCTGGTTAATTGATTTACAACTGGGATTCCTTGGAATAAACCTTTAGGTTCTAAGTTTCTCTGTGTTTTTTCAGTATTTGAGTAAATTTGTACATATCACAATATAGTTGATTCCTCTCCGATCCGATCGTTTCTTCTGTTCGAGTTAGAGTTGAATTCTCTCCTTAATACAATGTTTGCAGAGTCAGATTGCTTGGTCTACAATGGAATGAAGTGTGGATCGTTTGTGAGATTCATTTTGCAGAAAGCCCGAGCTCTAGGCCCAAGTCAAGCCCATAACATGTTCACCTACTCAGACAATACATCAAATATCAAGAAACAGGGAACTCTTTACCCAAGAGAGAGAGAGAGAGAGAGAAGTCGAAAACTACTTGAATCTCTTGGGGCAATCTGCCAGTCCGTGCCAGTGCCTGTGTCTGTGGCAACCGGCTTATAGATGAGCGTAGGAGTTGCATCTGGTTTCTGGTGCCCAAGCCGAACACTTCATTTCCACAGCAGCCATGACATCAGCCTCAAAGTAATGTAAGAGATCCAAGCGCTACCCACCATAAGGAGGGTACTACTATATACATATGTACATATATACATATCATATGACTACTATGTGAACTTGCAGCGTTAATTATTGTACTCTCAAGAGCCACAAGCCCCCAGCGATACTTGGAAGCAGAAGATTGGGATAGTGGGGGGATGAATCACTTACCTTTTTGTGCAAAGTATATACTTCTTCCAATTTGTTTCGAGCTTTTGTATTTATATGTATATATAGAAATGTGTTCGTCGATTCGATTGCTGCTTGGCTGTTGTTGCTGCAGTTCTTGATTTTTGTTTTTTTATTTTTTGTTCGTATAAAGATATTTATCTACTTCAATAGATACGCTCTTTCTGTTTCGTCTATCGTTGAATTATGCTGAGCAGGCACGCGCTCAAAGTCCAGCCGCAAAGCCATAAGCCATAAGTAATAATTCCGAAAACAGTGCCGGAGATATTCCAAATATGAATGGAGGAATACAAATTCTAGCTATGAATTCTCGCATACACACAGATACAAATACAGATACACACTTGAGCACGATCGTAGCGGGGGGATCGTAATTGATTGTATCTTTTGTGTGTTGTTTGTGTGTGTGTGTGTGTGGGGGAGCAGCAGCTGTTCGAAGAGAGAAATGGTCTCGAGGGATGAGTCAATGGAGTGGAGCTCACCGTGGGACAGCGTTAGTCGTTTTGGTTTGTTGCTTTGTGCTGCTTGTTCTCCGCCCTCTCTTATTCTCTCCGTGGTTCTGCTGTAATTGCGTTTTCCTCTTGTGTTTGTTTGGTTTTGTTCGCGTTATTTTCGTTCGTTTCTCTTTTTAATGTAGATCGCTCGCTATATATTATAGTTCTTATTCTTCGGATTACTCACATGGGCGCATACAACTAGACACTACACATAAACACAAAGATAGAGGGAGTAATTATGAACAATTTGTATACCCTTGCTGGGAAGGTATTAGTATTATGATTTTGATCCATAAGAATCCCTAGGATGACAACATCAAAATCTCCTCTAAAGAGGCGGTGGTTCTATAAGGGTATTTGCATATTCGACCCCCTGGCCTTTTCTTTTCTTGTTATTTTTATTTATTTTCTACGCCTGCTCTCTCCACCCACAATACCCTTCTTCCACTAATGCCAAAAAAAATCGCTCACATGTGCCGCTGCCATCGCATCTATATTTATACTATATGACGGACGGATGGATGATATATGTACATATGTGCATATGTATTTCCACGGACAAACAGACATACGCAGATATATGCATGCATTTGGGGTTTCTTCCGTTTCCGCCAGAGCCAAAAACCAGAACTGGGTGTGACGTCGTCGTCTCTTGGTGCGATCCGAGGCACAAAACAACACAGAGGAATCTATTTCACTATAACTATTATTGGCTTTATATTTATTTAGTATTTTGCTGGCAATATGATTTCCGTCGTTCGCGAAAAGATTTTTTTTTTGTCTATTTTTAAACCGATTTGGGCTTGAGGAGCGGCCAAAGCCGAAAAAGCAAAAGAACGAATTTTTGAATCGGGGACGGGGTTGGGTATGGGGACGAGGGAAAAACTTATGTACTTGGCATGAATCACATCACATAATGGGAAACGAATTCCGATTCTGATTCCGACGATTCGGTAGAGTGGAATAGAGACAGAGACCAACCAACAGTTGGATCGCGGATGGCACATACTGTTTTGTTTAAATATAGAATCTGCTTCAGCTGATGCCTGCTCCGATCTTCTCCGCGTACTACTGCAATTGTTCGAGTTTTAGTTTATGTTTGGGGCACATATGTTCGTTGATCAGACTCCTCCGAATAAATATATCGTCGTACACTATGGATGTCGTATTATGCTATATGTATATCCATATATCGCTGTGCGTCGTGTCGGGTGTGTGTGTTTTCGCAAGTAGTATGTTTGTATGTATGTAAGATATGTAGGTGAGTAACACGCTTAAACTTAAAAATTAAATCATCGGCGCGAGCGATCAGTTGAAGACTGAAAAACGTTGAAACGCCGCACACAAAAGCTAACCAAAAGCTCCCTCTCTCTCTCTCTGGGGCAAAGCACAAGCAAAGCAGATTTAGAGTGGCAGAGAGGGGATCTCTAACCAGGGCTGTCGAGTGACCGTTGGATATGGAATATAGTAGACACCAGTTGGTGGTATGTTTAGTTTTCAATGCACAATAGTTCTTTATACTTATAACAAATCATTCGACTTGGTACAAAACTTAGTAAAAAAAAAATGAAAATCAATGCGAAAAGAACAATCTAGGGCATTCATTCAGAGGACTTCGGGCTGATTAAAAACATTTATCTGCCTTAGTTTACACATCATACAACATACATACATATAACATATTACATATCATGGAATTATATTTTATGGTTAGACAGCTGCGTCCTTATCGGGGCAGTGCCGTATGTACTCGTATAAATCTCTGGTTACATTATATTTAGCATGCATTCAGGTAAAATTATAATTAAAATCCAATTATTGATTGCTTAAACTATGAAAAAGTATGGTTTATGGATTGTGTATTGGGCGGGGAGCATAGCTACTTTGTGGGCGTGGCAAGGGAGTTGTTAAGCGAGTTGGATAGCTGCTCCTCCTGGTCCTTGTCGAGACCCAGGGCCATGGTTAGGAGCTTGACCACGCACCGCTGCTCGTGTACCTCGCCCTCGCCCTTTTCGGTGGAGGTGATGTCCTTTTCCAGCTTAAGCTTCTCTTCGGCGGCCATCAGGATGCCCTCCTCGATGGTGCTCTCCGCCACCAGGCGGTAGATGGTGACTGGACGCTGCTGGCCCATGCGATGACACCGATCCTCGGCCTGCTTGTCGTTGTACGGGTTGAAGTCGATGTCGTGGATAATACAGGTGTCTGCAGCCGTTAGGTTGATGCCCACGCCGCCCGCCTTTGTTGACAGCAGAAACACAAAGATGTTGTCATCCACATTGAAGTCCGTGATGAGATCCTGTCGCTCCTTCACGGCAGTGGCTCCGTCCAGACGGCAGAATCCATGCTTTCGTATCCGCATATACTCCTCCACAATGTCCAGCATCATGGTGAACTGGCTGAAGAGCAGCACCCTGTGGCCCTCCTCCTTCAGCTTCGGCAGCAGCGTGTCCAGGAACTCGAATTTCCCCGAATCGCATATCAATTCATCCGGTATCCTCACATCGTGCATTTCCTTTACCAAACAAGGAATATTAAGTTTGAATGTTTTCTCTCTTTTGGGATTACACTTACATGCTTGTTGCATAGCTGATAGACCTGGAAGTCCGACATGACGGCCAGCTCCTCGAAAATATACTGCTCGTTGGTCTTTTTGTAGCTTGTAGCTCGGGCCAGTCGCTTGGAGAAGCCGCGCAGATGCTCGTCGGTGAAGTAGTGGCGCATCAGGAGCGGATGATTGGCACAGCGACGCATCTCCATCATTATGGCGACGCCAGCCCGATCGCCGCTGCTGCATACGACGCCTTTGTTATTGGAATAATAGTCGACAACCTCGTGGTAGTACTCCCTTTGTTGGCTGCTCATGGGGACTTTTTTCTTTAAAAAGATTGGAATGATACTTTTGGGAACTTAAGATTTTCAACCTTTCTGCTCACCACAAAGCTTTGCTTCTTGGGCAGGTTGTTGAGGACATCTTTCTTGAGCCGCCTGAGAACAAACGGCTTCATGATGCGCTTGGCTCGCTGTATTTGTGTTTCCTGGAACTGGGACACCTCCTCCTGGTCGCCGTCGATCTTGCTCTTCTGCAAAAGGAAAGCGAAAACCTCTTTAGCTCGATATGCACAAAAATGGCGGCTCGGCTAGGTCTTGCCTTGACAAACAACGATTTTATGTCCTCGATACTCTTTGCAAAGAACTTGGGCATTACGAAGCACAACAGGGAGATCAGCTCCAGCAGGTTGTTCTGCAGGGGTGTGCCCGTGAGCAGGATGCGCATTTTGGCGTTGATGGTAATGAGGTTGGCATACCGCTGCGTGGTCATGTTCTTCAGCATGTGCGCCTCATCGAAGATGACGTAGTCCAGCTTGCACACCCGGAACATTTTCCTCTCTTCGGGCGTGGAGCCAACGATATGGTAGCTGTAACAAGCGCCCATCAATTAATGGGATGGATGACTCAAGGGGAGGGGGTTGGGTTTGTCGTTACTTACGTTGTCAGCAGGACATCGAAGCCAGTGAAGCCGTCTTTGGCATACCGCCCACGCATCCTCCTCCGCTCGTCCTGGGAGCCATGATACTTCTCCACCACCAGACTGGGACACCATCGCGAGATCTCGGCCGCCCAGTTGTCCAGTGTGGAGGAGGGCACCACAATCAGGTGGGCCGCCTTGCTTAGGCCTTTCTCCTTGAGATAAGCCAGAAATGCTATCACCTGAATGGTCTTGCCCAGACCCATTTCGTCTGCCAGGATGCCGTTCATCTCCTGTTTGTGCATAACGGTAAGCCAATTGAGGCCTATTATTTGATAGTCGGCCAACTGCATTCTGTGATCAATTCGATATTAGCTAGCTTTCATGATTATCCTGGACATGGCTTACCCGCTAGTGAGCATCTTGGGCTGGTTCACGATACCGCCACCATTGGATATGGCCTTCTCCAGGCGCGACACCATATTGTTGCACTTGTTCAAGATTGTGGCCACCGTGTTCTGCTTGTTGATCAGATCCTGGGCATAGTTCAGCAGATCGCCCGGCATCCGGATGCTCTCCAGCTTCTTGCGTAGCCCCGCCCAGTCACTAAATGGCCGCTGCTCAATGATCAGAGTAGCCTTCTTCTCGGAGATCGTCTTCACCGACTGCAGCTCCACGAGGGTAGCATCGTTCATGAACTGGAACACCTTCTTGCGCTGGCCAGTCATTTTGGTGGCCATTTCGGAGTCGCTGTCATCACTGTCGTATACCTGATCCTTGGACTGCTTGACGTCTTCATCGTCCGAGCATTCGCCGTCCGAGTAGGTGGGGGCCCTGCTGGAATGCGAGCTGGGCTGCAGCTTGGGCTTGACCAAGGGACCATTTTGCCCCTTCGGCTTGCAGTTCTCTCTCAGATAGCGTATGGAGGCTCCCACATCCCAGTTTGAGCGCGAAAGTGACTCTTGAACGGCCTGAAATAACGGGGACAGTGGACAATTCTTAAACCTGACTCAAAAGCGATTTGAAACTTAATATATATCGATATCTGTGATCCCCTTTTGCGACGCCTCTGTACGTGACAGCTGTTTTGGAATGCCGGCCCTGAACATCGGCCATGTTCCGCGTACACGGAGGGAAACAACCTCCTGCCCCACGACAGATTTTTACCTGTTCTGTTCGTGAACGTACCATTGTATCGTACTGCGGCGATATTTTTGCAGCTGCCATGTAGCGTTCCTCCTTTTCTTTCACCGTCAGCTGCAGCTTGGTCTTCTTCGTCACCTGGCTGTCGGCCCCGTCACTGTCACTGTCTGCCATCACCAGGATGCGTTTCTTGCCAGGAACTCTCTCTGGAAAGGGTTGTCACAATTACAAACGCCCAGGCATGAAATGTCAATAGCTCAGTTACCAGTTTTTGCCTGGCCTGCAGAGACGGCTGCATTTTTATTGATGCGAAACTGTCGCAGATCACTCAGGCTCGATTTGGTAGGCGATGAGCTGTCTGACATCTTTAAGCAAGGCTGGCGCTAACTGACAGCTTGTTTACTTTTAGTCACAATTATCTGTGCCTAACTAAATACACGATTAACATATATGTGGAAATGATTTTCCTACACCTTTGCCTTTACACTAGAGACGAGACCCTCAAACCATCGAGGGCACAATCTATAGTATCGATGGTTTTGCGTCTTTGGTATATTTGTGGTATACTTCTGGCTCATATCGGGGACGCCAATATGAGTCGGGAGAGCGTAAATTGGTGTCTTTCGACTGGAACTATTTCCAATACTATATTTTTGTTCACGATCTTTTACAAAACAGCATAATTTTCCGCGATAAACTCAAGTTGTTCTTCTATTTAAATACAGCGGGTATGATTCGTTGTTTTCCTCGGTATATTTACGTTATTATAAGGTATTTTTCGGTATATTTTGAGAATTAGCTGGTATACCTTGGTATATTTTTGAGGGTCAGACGGTATATTGAATCGAAAATCCGCGGTCACACTGACCGACGACACCATTCATGGCGTTTTTGTTTTTAAAGTTTTGGCCGCAGTAAATTTGAATTTTTTGAATTGCGTGGTTCAGCGCGCGCGTCGTCAAGCAAATAACACTTTAAATAAGTACAATTTTGGATAACGTATTTCTTTGAAGAGACAAGCCGAGATAGCAGAAAGAGAGTGAAAAAACAATCGGTTCGGCGGCAATACGGGTATTTTTAATCTAAGCTAAAAACGAAAAAAAAAAAAAGTAAAATATACGGGTACAGCCGAGTGCTAAAATCGGGAAATTTAATGCAATATTTCTAAATGTGTTTATAAATCGCTAGCAACATAGTAACTAATTGCAAAAAGGTAAATTCCATTTCCCCAAAGAAGACGAGGCAAAGTCAAACAAAAGCAGAAAGGAAATGAAATGTGTAAAAAAAATCGATTGGATAATCTGTGTACGTGTATGGCTGTGTTTGAGTGTGTGTGTGGCTGCTTTTTTTTGTGTATGCGTGTGTGTTTGTTTAAACTCGAGCGAGTGGCGAAAAATTTAGCACAATGTGCAATAAAAGGCAATTTACCTCATTTAAAGTATGCACGAAAAAACACCGAGCACCGAGGAGAATACTTTGCCAAAGCCAGCCGTAAAATATTCAACCAGAAGCGCAGACCTACACACAGGCACGCATACACAGCAACAGCGTGACACTCGCGCTCGCACACGTACGCGCGTATGCAAAGGCAAAGGCAAAAGCAAAAAAAAAACAAAAGCAGAAACAGAAACGTAGTGAATGTGCAAAAGCAGAATCAGCAGCAGGAAGGTGCTTGTTTGAGGGGAGGTGGTAGCGGCAAACGATTTAATAATTTAAATAGACAAAAACTGCTAGTTTCTTCAAGTGTGAGTGTGTGTGTGTGTGAATGAGTAAGTGAGTGCGAGTGAGTAGGCAATATCTATGCCCTGCCTGGCCATCAGCTGTTTGACACTTGACACGATCGTGGTCTCTACCCCTGTAGTCCCTCTCCCACCCACTGTCACTCGTGTGCGTAAAAAGACCAACAAATGCAAAGACACAGAAAGTGCCAACAAAGAGGTATAAGAAAATAAAAAGAGAACTTACAGACTGACAACAAACTGCAAAAAAAACAGTGAAACCGAAAAACATGGCGTACATACTCTCTACAATCTCTAGAATCCAATAACGCAACTTATTTCTCTCTCTCTCTTTTCCAAATCAGATGCTAATTTTTCCCTCATCTCTCTCTTTTCTCTTCTTTGCAGCATCTCCCCATCTCGCTCATACATTTACAAATATCGCGACTAGGAATTTATCTAAAGTGTAAACCAAATGCTAATCCAAGCTGATAATCTAAGTGTAAACTAAGTGTAGGAACCAATACGAGAATTTAAACGCGTCTAAAACTGAAACAAAACGCAAACCAACAAACAAGAGACAAAGAGCAAAGCAAAGCATCGCGCGCGTGATAAACCAGCGGCAACAGCAACAACAATTTCCTCTCCTCTCCGTGGTACCTTAGGTCGGCAAAATAGCTAAATCCATTTTGCAATTCTTAAAAAAGAAGAAATCACATCATAGTTCGGCATCGGGCGAGGGCAAGCTACAGCAGCAGTCCAGCTACGAGGAGGAGGGCGTCGGCGGTGGAGGAGGACCGGAGCAGGCGGCTAGCAGCAGCAGCAGCTCGGCTGGGCCAGGAGGAGCAGTAGGAGGAGGCGCCGCCGCCGCAAGCCAAAAGACAACGCCACAAACGGCAGCAGCAGCCGCAGCAGCATCCGAAGGAGGAGCAGCCGCAACGAGCACGACAGACGGAGCAACAGGATCAGCAGCAGGAGCCTCCAGTGAGGAACCGCCACAGGTCTCTGCCAGCGCCACGTTTCGCCTTTCATCGCTCACGGGTACAATCTCGAAGATGGGGAACAACGCGACCACGTCCAACAAGAAGGTGGACGCCGCCGAGACGGTCAAGGAGTTCCTCGAGCAGGCCAAGGAGGAGTTCGAGGACAAGTGGCGCCGCAACCCCACCAATACCGCCGCACTCGATGACTTCGAGCGGATCAAGACGCTCGGAACGGGCTCCTTTGGCCGCGTGATGATCGTCCAGCACAAGCCCACGAAAGACTACTACGCCATGAAGATCCTCGACAAGCAGAAGGTCGTCAAGCTGAAGCAGGTGGAGCACACGCTGAACGAGAAGCGTATCCTGCAGGCCATCCAGTTCCCCTTCCTAGTGTCGCTGCGCTACCACTTCAAGGACAACTCCAACCTTTACATGGTTCTCGAGTACGTCCCCGGCGGCGAGATGTTCTCCCACCTGCGGAAGGTGGGCCGCTTCTCGGAGCCCCACTCGCGCTTCTACGCGGCGCAGATTGTGCTGGCCTTCGAGTATCTGCACTATCTGGACCTCATCTACCGGGACCTCAAGCCCGAGAATCTGCTGATTGACTCGCAGGGGTACCTCAAGGTCACGGACTTTGGGTTCGCCAAGCGCGTCAAGGGGCGCACCTGGACGCTCTGCGGCACGCCCGAGTATCTGGCGCCGGAGATTATCCTGTCGAAGGGCTACAACAAGGCCGTCGACTGGTGGGCGCTCGGCGTCCTCGTCTACGAGATGGCCGCCGGCTATCCGCCCTTCTTCGCGGACCAGCCCATCCAAATCTACGAGAAGATCGTCTCGGGTAAGGTGCGCTTCCCCTCGCACTTCGGCTCCGACCTGAAGGACCTGCTGCGCAACCTGCTGCAGGTCGACCTGACCAAGCGCTATGGCAATCTGAAGGCGGGCGTCAATGATATTAAGAACCAGAAGTGGTTCGCCTCCACCGACTGGATTGCGATCTTCCAAAAGAAAATCGAGGCCCCCTTCATACCCCGGTGTAAGGGGCCTGGCGACACAAGCAATTTCGATGACTACGAGGAGGAGGCACTGCGGATCTCCAGCACCGAGAAGTGCGCCAAGGAGTTTGCTGAATTCTAGATCAAGTTTTCCACCACCTCAACTCCACCCACACATTTGCAACCGCCACAACAACAAGAACAACAGCAGGACAGAGCAGATCCGCTGCTGCACTTGCTCCTTGCTCCTGGAGTTGCTGTCGCCAACTGCTGTTGCGGCCTGGCGGACCATGTCCTCATAGCCGTAGCCGCCGCCGTCGTTGTCGTCGTCGTCTTGTCTATATGTCTACTTCTACTTGCAACTGCAACAACAGCCACAACAACTACTACTATCTACATCTACTACGTCTACGTCTACGTCTGGACATATGGTTGATCTATATCTATGCCGAGAAACCATCCACATGCCACGTATCGATCTATCTAATCACACAACATAACAACACAAAAAACACATCTCTATATATTCTACTACATTGGATTTTTCACAACAATTTGCATAAATGTGAGTACACTACCAAGAAAATGTTTATAAACGATAGAGGCTAAGGCTTTATGCAAATCGATGAGCAGCTATAAAGAACCTTTCGATCCGACTCATATCAGTCGTAGGAAAAGAACGTTAGGAAGTGGAAAAATCCCCTACATATAAATGTATATGACCAACCGATGAAAGAACTTATTTAGGAATGTTTAAGGGAAGAACTTTAGAGATAGCAAAAGAAAACACGTACATATATGAATCACAGATGAAAGACTTCTTTAAAAATAAGCATTTTTGTCACTCGTTCCCACTAATTTCAGTTACTTTTTTGAGAAAGAAACCGATATTCACGTATAAAAGAGATATCTTAGATAACCTATCCCAATAATAGAGGATATTTGTATGGTATGGTATTGTTGTATGGTAATTCCATTATATTTTATGCATGTACTAACTTTGGATCTTTGTTACTAATCCCCCGACTATACCCAATCTTCAGAAGCACTTTTTTTATACATTTACACTGCGATACATATATCATAGACCATCCCTTGCAATACATTATGTTCTTTATATCTTAATTTATGTAACGTTTCGTAAACCTTAACCTACTATGTATTTTAACTCAATTTGTATATATTGCTTCTGTATTTTTATATTTATAAAAACCATCGTTTAATTTTGTGTCTCTTTTGAAGTATAACCTCTCTTTCCATTTTCTTTTCTCATATTAATTTAATCTCCATTTATACATTTCCTTTTTTTATTATTACTTAATAATTCTGTTTATTGTACAAATCTAAATATTTATTCATACTCATTATTCATTCATACTCATATACCGACCAAATCGACATATTCTCTGATGTTAATCTACTGTTTCTATTATATAAAGCATGACTACACCACAATTCCTCCCAACACATATCATATTGCATAATTGAATGTTAATCTATTGACTATAAATAATATGAACCTTTTTCGTAATGAGATTTCATTTGAGTAGCGCAAGGGTAATTCTCCTCTCCACTGCAATCCCCTTTTTTGCTGACTGTTTGTTGTGTGACTTTTCCCGCATGTGATTGATGGGACGAGCATCAGTCTGATTGATTGATTGTTTTGCTCGCAGTTTAAGTGCGTTCCAGAGAGTTTTCGTTATGAGACAAGAGAGGCATGGCATTCCTCAGACATTTGTTTGTTTGTTGTTTGCACAATATATGGATCGACATGGAATTCTTTTTTAATTAGATTCCCTCGAACTTGTATATTCCATTGGATGAGTCGTCTCTCTGTGGGGCACATACCCCTTGGTTACTACTTCCCGATCTATATACGTGATGTTTCACACATTTTTCTTAGTAATTCCTGGTAAAGGAAAAACATACACAAATGGCTATAAGTCATTCGAAAAGAGTGTCTTATCCTCTAGAATGACAAAGAGCAAACACAATACTGATAATATTGTTATTTGTTGCCATGAAATGTGCTCGCAATTCAAACCATTTCATGGGAAACCAACTCTATATGTCGGTTTTTATTCTAATTTATTTTCTGTTATCTTTATCAGTTTGCCTGGGAAAGCTTAAGCAAATTACTCTCTAATTCTCCTAAGGAATATTCACAATTGACCCATTTCTAGGGGTATATACTCGTAAATAATGCCAGAAACCTGAAACCAAAAAATTTGAACATGAAATATTAGGAATACTTTTTCATTTGTCGACTTTTGCGTGCCCACTGGCCATTAAATAAAGAAACTACTACTCTTTCTGCTCGTAATTAATAAATTATAATATTTTATGTTCCCCTTTCATCCCCCAATATATTTCATGAGCAAAAAATGCGTGCAAATGCCGCATGAAAATAATTGGAAAATTCTGTGGAAAAGTGAAAACAACTAACGAAGAAAAACTTGAAATTCTTAAAAGATCGAAATATTGAGTGACCATGACCTTTATCCGACCTTTAGCCAAGCCTCTGCGGCTGTCTCAAAATTATCTAAATATTTGCCATCCCATCAATGTGTGTTCTGTTTCGCTTTATTTATACCCTGTACGAATCGTATATTTCCATGTGACATGTGTCTCGTCTACAAATTTTATTGGCACCAATTATAATTGTTGTTTGTTGCTTTTCTGTCGCTTGCTTTCTGCTGAAGCAGACGCTGAGGGGAAGGCCATCAATCATTTGTTTTGGGCCAAGTCAATTACGATTTCGTTCGTAGTCATGGGTACTAAGTACGAGTATTTGGGCATTAGCCTTACTTATTTACCTTAAACGAAATGTATTCTATGGATTTTCTGATTGTTTATCGATGGGAAGAAGTGTGATGAGTGAAAAGGGGGTGTTAGGGCGGGTGCGCTAGGCCCGCCTTTGCTTCCACAGTGTACTCTGTATAGAGGATAACTGGAACAGATTTTTAATTTAGGCATTATCTACATATATTTAGTTTCATTACGATCTGATAATTTTGAGAGCCCGGATCATTAAAAAAAAGTTTCATAACTCTTAAGTAGATTCGTTGTTATTCGGCTGATTTTCTCATTGGTTTCTTCGGCTTTTCTGTTTATTTGGAGCACAAAATCAGTTGGAGCCAAAGTTCAGGTCACAGCTGGATATCGCCACAAACTTGTTCTGAGAAGTCGCAGCAGACACGCACACTCTCAGAGACTCGACTTGCTCCAATAAGCAGCGCCTAGACCGTAAGCCAAAGCCGAGTAAAGCAGTTCGTAGGCTGTAGACACGACAAGAATGCAGCTACCAACGCGTGTGTGCAACTGACGACGTTGTCTGGCCAATTTTGGTCTATGAATACAAAAGGGGGCTCCGGGGGGATCTCAGCCTTGTAACAGTGCCCTCAAAACGGGGTTTGCCAACACGCACGCGCCACAACCCAAGCAAACGTTGGCAAAGAGTAGACAATGCTCGCAATTAAAGGAAAGATGGAAAGAAATAGCGAGAGAAAAGCAAAGAAAACAATTATGGAAAAGAGCTCCAGAGTTTCCCGAGTGTTCAATAAGACAAATGTGTTTTCTGGTTCTCCAGTTTCCCATCGCTCAAAATCTACGGTTAACAGAGATTTTCACTCCCAAAAAAGAAAAGAAAAACTGCGGCAACGCGGCGTATGAGTAATGTAAATCAGAAGAAAGATTTGAAGTGGGGATGAAAGAGTGGGTCCAAAAAACACTCAAATTTAATTTTATTTTCGTTTTTTCATACGCAATGAGGATAAATTAAATGTGATTTTTTTATTGTTGATTTTGTTAGCTTTTTCGTTGAGTTTTTTGAGGTTTTTTCTCTTCTTTTTTTGTTGAGGTTTTTGCAAACGGGTTTTCAGCAGTAGCCCTCCCCTCTCTCCCTCTGAATATGTTAGAGGAGTGGCAGTCGGCATTCAGCGAATGCAGGCCTTTAAATTGAGACAACAGTCAGTCAGCCTGAGACCAGATCCACACAACCAGAGATCCACAAAGCTATAGTCGAGACGAGCAGCACCACTGGCAAAACGAAGGCAAACTGCGAGCAAAATCATTTAAATATAACGCAAACACGTCGTGCCCGACCATCTCTCTGTCTCCATCGGCTTCGACTCGTCACCAGTCCGCAAGCCCTCCCCTCCCTTTTCATGTTGTTTTTGTGCTCGTTTTAATTCTTTTTTTGTTTCATTCGTGCAATTATTTTCGTCGTTTTTGCTTTCAAATTGTAGTCGCTGTTTATTTACTTATTTTCGCTTCTCGTTCCACTGTTTTCGCTCCGATTCTCATAGCCATTGAATGATGCGGTATGGGTATATGGGGATTAACCATATTACGTTCTTCCATATCTCTGAAGGGAAGGCTCCAATACATCAGAACTCTTTGCTTCAGAGTAGAGAGTATTCAATATTCTAGTTCAAAGTTCTCTCACTCGTTACGGGATGTGTATATATGAGATACAAACGTCCCCAGTCTGTTTCTGTTTCTGTAGCTGCCTGTCTGTCCCCGCGACATCCAATGGACGGCAGGCAATTTTCATTCAGAATTTATGAGCAAATAAAATAGAATTGAACATGGAAAAACAGTGCCACAATGAAAATTGAAATTTTCTCTTTTTTTTCTGTTTACTTGTGGCGTTATTTATGGGCAGGTATATGCTATAGATTCCACTATATGTAGATACATATATCAGCTGGAAGGCACGGGAGAGATGAATGACTCCCGATACAAAGTTGCAGCATTGGGATATAGTTTTTGGGAGATAGAGAGAGAGAAACTTTGCTATCGAATTTCTGGGAAATAGAATTCATTCATTTCATTATAAGCGAAATACTTTTGCCTTCTGTTTAATGGACATTCGATTTCTCGAACACTTTTCTGAATGCCGATAAGGAATTAGCTGGAGAACAAATAGTGGACAACCATCGAGTGTTGCCCCACGGGAGGCAAGGGGTACCTTATCAGTAGAAAATTAAAAAAAAGAGAGCAAAAAAAAACTAAACCCAATGACGCCACTTGTCATACTAAAAGAAGTATTAGGGGTATGGAGGGGGGCCTGCTTGAAAACTAAAACAGAACTGGGGAGGCAACACAGAAAAACAACAGAAACGAAACCGAACAGAACAGAACAGCTGGCGATAAGACTGAAGGGGTGCAAGGTGATTGTAAGGGGGGTGGGGCGGTGGCAGAAGGGACACGAGAGTGGTGGCAACAAACAAAGGTAGTTATTAGATTCATTTATGCAGCTCCCACTCCCCCGGCCCTCTGCCTTTACTTCAAGTTTCTTCGTTTCTTCCAACGAGCCTCTCTCTCTTGTTGGGCCTCTCGGAGGTTCTCGGTTCGCCCTCTGGCGTTTCCCCTTATGGCCCCAATTCATTGTCTTTTGTTTGGTTTTTAATTTGTTTTGTTGGAAGAATGATGGCAGGGAGGAAGTGGGGGGTAGAAAATGGGTTAAGAGTATGCACATCATCACCCCCTTCCATTTTTGCTGGCATAGTTTTTCGTGGTTACATCATCATCATCGTGATTATCATTGCGATGTGATGCATT